CAGAGCTCCCATGAGGAAGGAGAGCTGTATGCTGATCATATTAATCCATGACCGCAGCAGATTGGGCGTCTTTGTCAGACAGCGCAGGACCACGATCTACAACATTGGGGAGTGGGACAAGACATCACTCAAGAGAGGCTGAGGCCCTCTGAACCTGCTGCAGTATTTGGGAGGCACACGTGCCAAAGAATTAATGGTTCATGCAGACAAATGCATTCTTGTATAGGAAAACTATTAAAATAAGGGCACCAAACTGCTGTGAATGAAATAAGCCATGAAGGTTCCCTAAAAGTAATAGCTCACAGAGCTGATCCTAAAGAAAGGGCAGCTTAGCCAAACGCAGCCAGGTCCTCCAAACCTGGTTTGACTAGTGCACCGGACCAGTTCTACCTGTAAGAAGAAAGCGTTTAATAATACCTCGTGAATAATATAAAGATAAGTTAATGCATGAGGAAATGTTCCATAGATTCTGAAGTGCTGCCCACATATAAAGTATGTGTCTATAGAACAAAAAAAATTAAAGCTGGGTCAGACAGGGAAGTGTTTCAGGATGAAGAGGCCATACATGTTCTTGGTGAAGAGGCTGTTTTCGTGTGGCTCTGTCGCCATGGACACTGGTCAGAAATGATCTCTCTCTCGTGGGGTGGAGTGAGTTGAGAGCTACTAGATGCAAATGGCAAGGGAAAGGAACCATTTTGTAAAGACCTCCCTGACAGTGTGACTTCTGGGACTTACCAGAGTTTTGGAACTGGGACAAAACTCCGAGTCATCCCAAGTGAGTCCGGTGTCTGCACCATTCTTCTCCCACGGTTGTCTCTGAGAAGGTGGCATTTGGAACACATGATGGAATCAATAGACCTCTTTCTGGGTCATTTTCGGGAGATTTGAGCAAAGGCATTAATAGGATCCCTCATTCTTCTCCTAGCATTTAGTAGTGTTGTTCTGCCCACGTTCTTTTCTAATAGGAAAGAAAGCTAAGACATTGCCTGTGGGGCCAAATGTTGAAGGGCAGATTCACGAAGCCAAAGCAGCAAAATTGGTGTTTGTCTTTAACAAGTGTGAACACCGTGTTATATAATCAGGGGTCACTTGACTTTGGAGGCAGAGAGCACTTGAGTAAGCCCCTAGCTTGCAGGCTGAGTTGACTGAGATGGGGGAGCCTTTAATTACAGCGATCTGGACACAGCTTCATGAAGCTGCCAATTGATTGACATTAAAGTTAGGGAGGCACTGTGGCGAGAATCTGAAAATAACTCTTGTGGCCATGAGAGAAGGGTTAGATAAATAAAGTTGGAAATTAGGCGTTTGGGGCAATAGATCCAGAGACGTGGGAAGAAAGCAACTTCATTGTTAAACCTGGTACCACAAATGGCCCAGGTTTGAGTTAAATGACCTGTGCACTTGGTTGGAATAGAAAAGAAAGCTAAGGGACAGCCTGTTTGTAGAGGGAAAGCTACAGCCCTAAGTCTGGTGTGTGGGCTCAAGGGTGTTTTTGACTGACTAAGAAGCACTGTGGGAATACTGGCAACTATAAATTGACCTTTGGGAGTGGAACTAGGTTGCTGGTCAGCCCTGGTAAGTGGAGTAAGCAAGGAATAATGGGATGGCTGAGGGGAAAATGCTTTTATGTCCCAAGAAATGGCTCTTAGTTGTCTTAGGACAAACTAGGGGGGGGGGTGTGATTGAGTCACTGTTATTAGAGTCCCACTGGTTCTAGCCAAAAAATGGAGAGAGGGGGGAAGGGGTG